ATAATATTCTATTATATACTATTAAATATATAATTATAATAATAAGAGATTATTTGCAAATTTTCTTTGCCTTTTACATTACAATGTTTACGACTCTAGAGCCATTACCATGATGAAAAGCAAAATTAAATTTAGTTCGTTATTTTTTATAAAATTCTCTGTCTGGTCCACCGGATTAATTTAAGTCGAAACAATTTATTCGGTCGTATTCACGTAGCAATTTCAGCATTCACTTCGTTGGTAGAAGACGCTTCAATGAAATAAAAAAATAATTAATGCTGAGATTATTCATTCCGAACTTAAACTAACAAATTATATTATCCTAGAATAAATATAAAAAAAAACTAATAGCCTCGGAAAAGGTAGTAATCTTTTTTGCTTTGTACTTATTTAATTTTGCACTTACTTCGTATTATACGTTTTTAGTTTTTGTATTTTTTAGTACTTTATTAGTTTTGTACTTCCTTAGTATCTGTTTTAGTTTTTCTTCTTTAGTTTGCAATATAGTGTTTTGTACTTCTTTAGTTTTTGTATTTCTTTTGGTTTGTACTTCAATAGTTTTGAACCTCTTTATGTATGTACTTCCTTGCTTTGCACTTCTTTAGATTGTTTTGTGATGCCAACGAACACTCTTTGCACTTTTGTAATGCCAACGAATACTCGTTGTCACTTTCGTATTGCTCGTTGTAGTAGAGACTTTGTAATCTCAGATACAACTATAGTACGCCATTAAACAATGCTGGTGTCAGACGTCTTCGAATATCACTCGCACTAATAGTTCTTGCTCGATAATACTCGCTTGAATGGTAATCAAGTATAGCATTGTAAATAGAGTAGAAAATAGCTGTCAGTATAGTAATAGGAGATAGAGTATAAATGCAATCCGAATAGTAATAGAGGATAGAATAGTAATAGCGATCCGTATAGAGTAGAGGATAGACTAGAAATGAAGATCAGTCTAGACGTCACGCGACTTTCTATATATGCGTTTCCTCTATAGTCACGTTGTCTATTTAATTCAATAATGGGATCACCTGTGTTTGCTCACTGGCGATCTATGTTCCAAGTGTCGGAAGCGACACTTTATTCATATAACAGATTGTTGCTTCTTTAATTTTGTACTTCTTTAGATTTTGTACTTTTGCTTTGCACGCTATTAGTTTTGTACTTCCTTATTATCTGTTTTAGTTTTTAGTCTTTAGGTTGTACTATGTTGCTTTTTACTTCATTAGTTATGTACTTCTTTTTATTTTGTACTTCCATAGTTTTGAATTTTATGGTTGTACTTCTTTAGCATCGTACTTCTTCAGATCTTTTCTTTTTTAGGTTATGCACATTTTAAATTTTGTACTTTTGCATTTTATCTGCTGAGATTTGTACTTCTTTAAATGTTTACTCTTTTCAGTTGTACTTCCTTAGTTTTGTACTTCTCTCGTTTTGCACTTCTTTTTAATTTTACACTTGTTTAGTTCAAAAATTTATTCTGTTCTGTACCTTTTTATTTTTGTAGCTCCTTAATTTTGTACTTCTCTGGTTTTGCACTTCTTTTTTATTGTACTTCTTCAATTTTGCACTTCGTTCTTCTGTTCTGTAACTTTTTATTTTTGTCCTTTTTTTATTTTGTAATTCTCTGGTTTTGCACTTCTTTTTATTGTACTTCTTCAATTTTACACTTGTTTACTTTTAACATTTCTTCTGTTTTGTTCCTTTTTATTTTTGTACTTCATTAGAATTATACTTTTCTATTCTAATCTTTTCTTTTTTTACGTTTTATTCTTTCTTTCTTCATTTTGTACTTCTTTTGATTAGTTTTTAATTTTTTTACAATGACTGCATAATCATTCGTCTTCAAATAAACTAAATTTAATACAAGTCAAGCAATGTTATCCATGCACAAATGTGTGTGACGTCAGAGATATATGAAGAATTCACAGCAGCAGCAGCAAAATAAATTTATTTAACCAACCTGAATGGTTGCGAGTCTTCGTCTATTTCCGTGACGTAACACTAATATCTGAACGAGACAAAGAACTCGAATTGTAGCAAAAATTCATATTTAATCTACAAAAAATATAAGGAAAAGTGACCGATTTTTAACTCGCACCGTTTTAAAGTGGCGGGGGAAGAGGAGTTAATTCTGAAAAAAAAAATGGCGCAAATCTTGGATTTATACAGTTACTGACACAAAATTAGTTTCTATATTTGTTATACTGTATGTAATTAACAGAGGAAATATTACCTCTTCCTTGTACTCCGACATATACGGTATACAAAAATATATAGGGGCATAAGACAAGGATGCATATTCTTGCCGAATTTATTATGCCTTTTGAGTGAAAGTATCCGGGGAGGGTTACCATATATGGCGGTGTACAAGGTGATCCTTTTAAACTTAAAACATACACCAATAAATAAGTGTTCGTCTTATACTCCAGGTATAAATTGTTAACCTTAAATCCCGTGGTTTATGGTAAGTTGTTAGCATGGGAGATTTTTGACAGTAGGCTAACCTCTGCCTCACCTCCTTTTTTCAATGATGTTGAACAAAAACACAACTCAATAAGCCGTTTAAAATCATATTCAAGAAGAGTGGAACAAATTGATGTTTTAGCAGGAAAAAGTCATTCAGGCTACTGTAATAGCCTACCAACAGAACACACTAATGAGGTATTGTAGATTGTGGTGGGTAATTAACAGTATCACTCCACATATTTTCATTAGAATTTGAATGAAAAGAAAATATATGTTTAGTGAATTTATGTAATAAATTCAATACATTTTAAAATACGATTTGAGGAGGTTGTCTTGTACAGCAAATATAGACTAAAATCTACATTTTAACTTAAAAATATGGTGGCCGTCTTACACGCTCAGTCACCTTGTATGCCAGTATATATATATATATATATATATATATATATATATATATATATATATATATAATTATAGTTTTAAAAATATTTTATATTAATTATAGGTTTCTAAAAAAATCTGTTATAGGTTTCTAAAAATTGGTATTATTAGTTTTTTAAAAATAACCATTATTAATTATAGGCTTATAAAAACTATAAAAATTTATTCGGCCTTTCCAGTGAAAGTATCTGGAGGGAGTTACTGTATATAGCGGCGTACAAAGCGATCTTTTTAAACTTAAAACATACACCAATAAATAGGTGTCCGTCTTATACTCCAGGTATAAATTGTGAACTTTAAATCCTGTGGTTTATTATAAGTTGTTAGCATGGGAGATTCTTGACGATAAGCTAACTCCTGCTTTGTTAACTATCAACTTAAACAACTTAATTCACTTAACTTAATCAACTTAATTATAATAAAATAATAAAAGTGGAGTGTAACAAAAGTACTCTTATTTTATACAGTACTAGCAGTACAGCCCGGCGTTTCCCGGGGATGTAACAGTAAGAGATAGATCAAGTATCGACCATCATAAAGACTGAAAAATAAAATTGACAAAGATTATTGTTTAAGGTTGACGGCCACGCATGTGTTAATTAGTTTTTGGGGGTTTTTTTTTGGGGGGGGGGGTTACGAATTGATCAAACCCAAACTCAAACAAAAACATTGTTTTCAATCATTATGAGTCTACCGATTGAATAGAATTTTATTATAAACAATTGCCTTGTAAATGGAATTTTTAAAGCATTCTGAATGTAAAAATAAAGAAAAAAGTGTACAAGACAATAAGAAACACTACCTGCCAAAAAAAAAGTGAAGTTTTGTTGAAATCGGTTGAAAAATGTAGGAAATCCGATCCCATATATAAACGAACACACACACACACACACACACACACACACACACAACCTGGATTTTATAATAAGTATAACTCGATATGAGTTGTCCCCCTTTCATTAATGCCTCTTAATCGTGTTTTCAAATTGATTTCGTGCAAAAACAATTGTGTTTTTCCAATTTTTGGCGCTGCCAGAACCACCGCAAGGTAATTTTATGTAGTCCTGTGAAGTTTTGTTGAAATCGGTTGAAAAATGTAGGAAATCCGATCCAATATATAAACGCACAGACACACACACACAATTTGCGTTTTATAATAAGCAAGATGATATGATTGCAAGGCAATAATAAAACGCATATTTGTCAACAGAGAAACCCAAAAGCATTGTCACACACTGTCGATTGTGGGAGTTAATTGACAATATTTTTCTATGATGTTCAACAACAACACAACTGTATGTGTGTCGCAACCAACCGTTTAAAGATAGCACTCGAGAACGGTGAATGGTTAGCGGGAAAAAGTCATTCAGGCTACCGTCATAGCCTACCGAAAACGCAGCAGTCACTCATGTGGTAGTCAGTTGAAAATATCTAAACCAAAGTTTTTGCGTTAGAATTTGAATGAAAAGAAAGTATATGCATTGTGAATTTATTTAATAAATTCAACACAGTACATTTTACAATATCATTTTGGGAGGGGTCGTCTTGTACAGTGAATAAATCCCGAAGCCTACATTTTAATTTTAATATTTAGGGAATTGTCTTATACGCCCAATTACCTTGTTCGCCAGCACATACGGTACTTAATTGTCTATTCTTAACATTTTCTACCGATATGAAGGCGATGTGCGTACGTTCTGGATTATTCTAAGATCACGTGTAGACATAGACACGTGCATAAATTCAAACATACATTTCATCGAGTACTTGACACATTGGAATACACGCATGTGTATGTGTTACGCATGGCTTGCAGAGACTTTTGTGTCCTGCCCTTGTACGGGAGAGTTATTGATTAAAGCACGCGTGTGGTCATTAATGTCAACGTCGACGTTAGTCGCCATGGCGACTGTCAGCCAGTTTGTCGGATGACCCCGACATTTTAAATGTAAAACGCCTGCGGCGCCTATAGCTTTGGGCAAGCAAGAAAAAATATGGGAAGCTATTTTAAAAGATTAAAAGGAATATGGATTGAAGAATGGATAACGGATTTATGCAGAATACAGAAGTGGATTAATGTGAACTCACTAATTCGACACACAGATAGATAGATAGATAGATAGATAGATAGATAGATACGGGTAATTTGATATAGGACTGAAGAAAAAATTTGATATAGGAGAAGATAGATAGATAGATAGATAGATAGATAGATAGATAGATAGAGTAAACTGAGATAAGACTGAACAAAATTTAGATAGATAGATAGAACAAGATAGATAGATAGATAGATAGATAGATAGATAGATAGATAGATAGATACGGGTAAACTGAGATAAGACTGAACAAAATTTAGATAGATAGATAGATAGATAGATAGATAGATAGATAGATAGATAGATAGATAGATAGATACGGGTAAACTGAGATAAGACTGAACAAAATTTAGATAGATAGATAGATAGATAAGACTGAACAAAATTTAGATAGATAGATAGATAGATAGATAGATAGATAGATACGGGTAAACTGAGATAAGACTGAACAAAATTTAGATAGATAGATAGATAGATAGATAGATAGATAGATAGATAGATAGATAGATAGATACGGGTAAACTGAGATAAGACTGAACAAAATTTAGATAGATAGATAGATAGATAGATAGATAGATAGATAGATAGATACGGGTAAACTGAGATAAGACTGAACAAAATTTAGATAGATAGATAGATAGATAGATAGATAGATAGATAGATAGATAGATACGGGGGTGCGCTGAAAAGTTCATAGGCGGACATTGAAGGAGTGATGATAGAGCAGTGAAATTTCGCATGCATTAAGTTCAAATCTTATTAATAACCCGCATTGTTTATTTCCAAATAAGCAGACATTTGATTGTTCAAAGTTGACTTTAGATAACTAATAACGACGTCTCTTGAAAATGGACAAAATTTGGCAACGTAGTGTTAGGAAGTACCTAGAGAAAAAAGGTTTAGCCCACTCGGCCTTTGATACTGACATGTTTTCTACATTAGGGAATGGAGCTCCAGTTTTGATGAAAGTGCAAAATTGATCAGCTGCATTTAGGAGGGCGAGCCCTGAAGATAACGCAAGGTCTGGACGTCTTGCAAGGTCTGGGCATCCAAGGAAAACCTGGATTGTGTTCACCACATGGTGAGGGATGTGATGAGAATATTTTACACAGTGAGCTTAGCACGAAGGAGATTTCTGCTCGGTGTCTTTTGACATCTGATGAAAAACCACGCCCTGCTGATCACATCAAAAGCTGACATTGCTTGAGATCGATCCAGCTGGATTCCTTGAACGTTTCCTAACCCAGAATGTTTGTTGGATTCATCACTTTGTGACAGAGACAAAGAGATAATCCATCCAAAATGAAACAACGAAAAACTAACGTATAGAAATTCCTTTTTAAAGTTCAAATGGACTTGAACCTGTTTCGTGGTGGCGAGAACGAATCATTCCATTGATGAATGAATCATTACATGCTTTGATTTTATTGGTAGATCATTAGCCAATCATAGTTTTTTAATAGTTTCAAAATATTTCAACACATGACAAAGATTGTTAGGCTCTTCGAAGTGGGTAATGGTGTAATGGTAAGCAAGATTGTCTTACTAGATCAGTTATGACTGAACAGAGAGTTTGATTCTCAATCGGTACCCCATAATTCTTGGCCCTGTGACACATTTAAGCTACGCTTAGAGAATCACCATAACAAAAGCGGTTGTCCTTAAATTGTAGGGCTGAGATGCTCGAACGCCTGCTTTTCTTCCTATTGTGGGTGAAAGTAGGCCAATGGTCCGCAGCGAGGTCTGTATCCAGAGCGCGTGCCACGTGAGACTTGGAATGCCGCATTTGTCGAATAACTGATACTCCTCGAGGTTTCTTTTCCTGCGCTGCATGTTGCAAATGAGTGTCTGTGGGCAATGTGTTATGGTGTAGAACCATAGAAAGATAAGACGGACTCGGATATAAGGTTAAATAGTATATTCTCGGAAACGTAGTACAAAGGTAAATGTGGACTGGAGAGTACTTTCTCTCACTGGTGCCTTGACTCACTCATTCACTCACTCTATGGCTACTACTGGGTGACCCTCACTTGGTGACTCCCTTTACTCAGAGTTGGTAGCGATATTATATAGGTTTGGAAGAGTCCATTTGTAGGTAGGTCCCCACAATACAAGGTTACATTCGCTCGCCTTACTGTCTCTCCTTTCCAACCCGGTGATGAGTGCTCTCGTAAGCCCCGGCGAGTGTCATCAGGCCTTAGGTGTTATTTCTTGGTCCAGCGACGGACTAGGAAGACATTGTATCGTACATTAGTGGAGACGCTCGCGTCGGAATCGCGCTGTGAGTGGCTTGGCTTGACGGCGAATGAGTGACACTCTTTCTGGCCCAGTGCGTCAGCGGAGTATTATCTTAGAAAACCCTGATTTTTTTTTTTGGCGATTGGCTCGGAATTCGCTGCCTCTCAATGACGTGACCTTCAAGGCGAGCATGGCAGACGTGCCTGATTACTACCAGTGTCATAGTGGGTTGGAGTAGACGACCGACCACACCTTCTTCCGCTGTCCACTAGTGCGCCCGTTTTGGTACCATGTCGGCTCCTATCGATCCCGAACATCTTGCGGCCACTGAACCCGCGCACGTGTGCGACAATATGATCTGGAGCGAATCGGTTTGTGCTTCTCACGCTGCAAATCGTGGCAAGAAGGGTGATGCGGGTGACGCGAATGGATGGAATCTTTCGAAACGAACATTACACTCTGATCCAATTCATTAGGCGTCAGCTCAAGATGAAGATCAGAACTGATAGAAAGCGATTGGTTTCGGCAGATTTCAGTGTAAGGTGGTTACGAGTTGTGAGCCATGTTCGCGTGAATCGGGTCAAAATTGATTTCCTCTTTTAAGCCCTTTAGTCGGCAATGGGTCGCATTCCCAGCGGACCCCACTCCTAGTATCTCTTGTGAGTCACTGTCGTTCTCGGCCATGTCCCGGCCCCCTCTATTATTATGGTCCTTTTGAAGATTTCCTAACTCTCTAAATTATTATCTACGCTTTTTATCTAGACTGGACCAGCCTATTCTATTTTCTCATTCTCAAACTGTTTGCCCCTCCCCCGCTATTAGCGTGTGGGCTTTTGATTCTGTCTATCGGCAGAATACAGCGGTCATTATTATTCTCTCTCTCTCACACACACACACACACACACACACACACACACACACACACACACACACACACACACACACACACACACACACACACACACACACATATATATATATATATATATATATATATATATATATACAGAAATTTCTCCATCAATGGTTTATTAAGTGTCCTGTGTACGAATGAAGTTCTTGTGTTGATTGTCTCAAGTGCATTAATGAAAGAGTTGTGAATCGAACTAGTTAATGATGATCAGCCTTTTCCCTATCCCTGTGGCCTTGTGTCCCTAACATAACAAAGCTTATCCTAATGTCAGTTATATGCCATGCATGATACACGCTTGGGCGATCATGTATCCTTCGATAGGTTGCCATTTCTGTCTGTGGTAGACCAGTTGCCATCCAAGGCTATAGAACACGGTCTGTCTTGCTATTTACCCATAGATGGAGGGAGAAGGAGAGAATTTTCCAAGGTATTAGCACGTAAGTGAATGTAATGGATTCGACTGGAATTCGAACTCGGCTCTCCGATTTCCCAATCCGAGCCTCTATCCATTACTCCATTATCGTAATACATTACTTATTTTACTTTATAGACTGATGATAAGTTATTCATTCAATATAATTTGCACAAGCCCCCGTGAGTGCCCACTCCAGATAATAACTCTCCACCGGCAGAGAATTAGGGCCATTATTCACCGATTTTTGTTCCTAATCCATGTACGCGTCGGCTCAGATCCCACATTAATCTCGACCTTGTGTGATATTCCGTTTAAGTGGGCGTGAGGATACAGATCCTTCTTATATGATATAGGCGTCGCCTGCGGTGAAAATTGAATATGTGCTCGAGTCTTACGTAATCACAAGCAATACCTCTCCTTCGAGGGCCATGAAGTTGAAATGCCGAGGATACTTGAACAATCTTTGACCCAAGACCATGTACGCGTGGAATCTCAAGTAATACTAATCCAATGTTGATAATAGTGTAGTTTGGGTGACCACGCGTACATATTCATGCTAATATTACTACTAATACAAAAATTCAAGATATGGCGAACAAAGCAAATGAAATTATGATGAAAGAAAAACGAGTCCCAAAATTAACAATGGTTGATAATTCTTCATCTGATAAAAGTTCAAGACAATATTACTACTAATACTACGAATGTAAATAAAACAAGTGAAATTAGGACAAAGATAATAACAGAACTTCTGCTAATATAAAAATTCAAGATAATATGGCGAACAAAGCAAATGGAGTTATAATGAAAGAAAAAATGAGTCCCAAAATTAACAATGGTTGATAATGTTTCATCTGATAAAAATTCAAGACAATATTACTTCTATAGACGAATATGCTTCTCAAATTTACATGGCAATCAATATTACAAGGAAATCAATATTGCAAACAGTTCTTGAAAATTTGGAATTAATCTAGCACAATACTTTCCAAATTTTTTATTTTTAACTTTAAAAAATACAGTTTTCTATTCTAGTTCTCAAAAAAGGTTTCTAGGAAAATCTCTAGAAATGAATGGAGGAATAAGTACCAAAAAGACAAAAGAAAGGTCATCGAAGATGTTGAATATTGATTAATTGCAAGTGGTTTGACACGCAGGTAGACTAGTGTAGTCACTTGAAATAGAAATACCCACCACTGAGTGATTTAATGGATAGATATATGAGTGAATAGAGTTCATTCATGCAAATGTGTTGGGCAGGTCCTTTTATAGTAAAGTGGACTAACCCACCTGCTGTATTAGGTAATCTCTTATAAATGAGGTAGATTAGCTGGCCTGACTTTCTACAAGGAGGCACAAGGAGGTAGCCATGTTAGAAGTTAAGTTATTTGACGTCTACAGAAGAGAAAGTAAAACTGCAGAGAACGAAGACGACCGATATCATGAACGCACACACTACAAAAAAAAAGGGTCGAGAAAAAGAGAAAGAGAGAGTGAGAGAACAAGAGACACAGAGAAAGATATCTAAATATCACTTACTTTATTTACACTAGAAGAAGTGATCTTATCGTGGGAACAAAGAACCTGTATGCCGATGGCGGGCGAGTTCAGTAAGTGCACAAAAATAGAAAGAGGAGGTTTTTTAGTTTTTTATTTTACTTTTTTTTGTGTTGTATTTTTAACAGATTTATTCAACATCTACAGCAAAACCATCCTAAGTTTTTTTTTTTTTTTTTTTTTTATTTTTTTTCTGGGAGAACACAATATTAACAAAATAAGATACTCTTATGAAACTGTGTTAACGGTAGATCCCAGTAAAGAACGTAATAGAACACTCCGACCAGCTAATAAAGCGTTGTGGTGTCCTCCCTCTAAAGAGTCTATGTTGGACTCTTCCGCCTACTATAAGAGTAGCAGGAGAGAAGGCCTTGGGCGAACAGTCGAATAAATTGGGAATAGAGCTCTAGCCTGTTCGTTACTGCTGAACTCTGCCTTGAGCAGAGAGGAACCTGGACGAGGCTTTGCCGAAGTGCAAAGTTTCGTCCGTGGAAGTAGACAGGCCTTGAACCCGTTTATGCGGGTTCTAAGGGAATATTTTTGGCCGAGCCTACGGGCTCGGAGAACCCACGATAAACTCGGCCTTGTGCCACATACAACCCTCGTGGGGGATACTGTTAAATATTAACAGTCGAAGAGATCTGTTCGGCTGTGCTGGTCAAACTATCTGCCCGGAGGCAGAGAGGATCCCCAGATGAGGCTATGTCGAAGAGCAGAGTCTCGTCTCAAGAAAACAGCTACCTGACTCCGTTTTATACGGGGTCTATGGGGAATTTTTGGCCTGGCCTACGGGCTCGGATTGCCCCACATTAAACTCGGCCTTGTGCCACATCCTATTTCGTGGGGAGCCTGGTAAATATGACAGTCAAATAGATTGAACGCTGGGTCAACCGACACACACTCACTAGTCGTGTAATACTCTTCTGTTGTACTTGCTGTTTAATCTATGATATATCTGTAACGCGTGTTTTGTTATTTCTTTAACCATTTACTTAGTCACAACATAAAGGAAAGCAAGAAGAAAAGAAGCCTGGAGACATAGCTCTCAGCAAAAGACACAGTCCAAGTTGCAAACTCCGTAACGTTCTTTGTGGCCCATTGGTAAAACCCGAGATTTACTTGAAAAACTGAGTCAGGTTGTGACACAAGGTCAGGTTTTAACGTGGGTACCCCAGTGTTTCCACTCGGGCCGCTGGTCTAAGCTGGTCTTAGCTTGTCTAAACTGCTCAACCCCGGCTGATCGGTAAAGCCCACTGGATCATATGTTATCTATACAACTTTCATATTTTATTACTTTTCTTTCCAACAACTGTAGAATTTGTATAATCGTATACCGAATTTTACTTATTTCTGTATTCCAGCTAATACTAACCATTTGATCCAAAGTAAGGCAAGAAGGTCACTAAGATGCAAGTGTTTACTGAGTGGAATATAATATGAGAAAAATTTTAAAAATTAAAGAGCGAGAACTATAAAAGGACATAAATTAAGAAGAAAGAAGTTAACTGGAAATCAGAAAGTTGAAATAGAGTTCCGCAAGTAAGAAGGCTAAGAGATGAAATTGTCAACATAGAACTTACGGTTATGTCTAGATATAAAATGATGAGAGCTTTCAGCCAATCTAGCCCTTCGCTTACATTCGTAAAGTCTTGGTACTAAGAAGAAAGTTTACCAAAGCAATTACAATGAACATTTATAGAAATAGAAAATTATATTAAGTCACGTTACGCTGCTGGGAAAGTTACAAAACCGAGATGCCTAGTCAGGACTCTTTTTCGGATTTTATAAAGTATCTAAATACATAAAAACAAAGGACCAGAGCAGACCAGCCATTCCATCAATATTCAATGCCGTTACATCTAGATATTTCAACTGTAAAATTATGAGACATTGCTGCCAATCTCCTAGTTCGCTAAAATTCATAAAATCTAAACCCCAAAGAGGAAAGCTCATGGGTAAAATTATGATTAAAATATTCATAGAAAAAGCTCACGAATGCCAAACTTACACATGTACATTTACAGCGTAAGCATAATCTTGCGTATAAAAAAATCACATACACCAACGAAAGGTAACGCAACACTGAATGATGCAAATAAAAACGTCTTTAATATTTGGATCGTCAAAGGACTGTCATATCTTGATGTTTCGTAACTACACCATCCTATTCATCAACATTTTAAACTATAAATAAAGTTGTTAAATTTTTAAAGGTGATTCATTTCTTTTTTTCTCAATAGACAATTTATTCTCGTAAAAAAATGATGACCTCCTGTAACAGAAATGGTAACAGTCAACTTGAACGTTTCGAATAAATTTTCAAAAAATTGTTACCCCCGATAGTATCTTTTCTTTTTTCACCTGGCATTTTACATATCCTTATGATAACGGGAGGAGGCACGGTGGAGTAATGGATAGCGACTCGGATTGAGGAATCGGAGAGCCGAGTTCGAATTCCAGTTGAATCCATTACATTCACTTACCTGCTAATACCTTTAAGAAAGGTATGAACCCTCTTCTTCTTCTCCTCCCAGCTATGGGTAAATAGCAGGACCGACCGAGTTCTATAGCCTTGGATGGCACTGGTCTACCGCCAAAAAGAAATGATAACCTAATGCGAGGGAGAATATCTGCCTCGTTAATCATGTTTCGAAAGATACATGATCGCCTAAGCGTGTATCACACATGACCCTTAACTGTGATAATGAAATTATATTTGCTTTTTCAGTCCAGGTCGTTTTAAAATAGTTGGTAGGATATCAACTTCCTGTACAGAAATTCAAATTTCTAAGCACCCCTTTTGATTTTAATTTGATTAAGTTACATTACATGAAATAAAGTTTAAACCACACTGATTTTGAGAAGCAGTGTGTTGCGATGTTTTAAATTATATAAGTTGTATTAACATATCTGTTAGTAAATCTGCTAACGAGACATGATTTACTGCCGCACTATATTTCCTTTTGGGTATGCATATTAAGTAATGAGAGAATATGATAGTAATGACAAAAGTAACATATCTCTCTCAAATAGGAGAGTAACAAAACAAAGGGAAACCACTCTTGATTATTAATAACAATGATATATACCTTTCTATATTTTAGAAAAATGTTAGGAACGTGAATTATAAAATGGGAAAAAATATATATAAACGGACATTAAATTTCCAGGAAATGTGTTAACTCTGAATTTCAAGGTAAAAAAAAAAAATTTAATCACTCCATAATTTAAGCTTCGTCCACCGGACTCTTCAGGTAGGAGGGCAAACTACAATCACCAGTCTTATTATACAAATCTACGAAATTATCCAATGTGCTTACTCTTCATTAATGGACAGCGGCTCGGATTGAGGAATCGGAGAGCGGAGTTCAAAATCCACTCGAATCGATTACATTTACTTACATGCTAATATCCTTGGGAAAGGTATGAATCCTCTTCTTCTCCCCCACCCACAACTATGGGTATATAGCAGGTCAGATCTATAGCCTTAGATGGTAACTGGTCTACCGCAGAAAGAAATGGCAACCGACTGCGGGAAAAAATCTGCCTCGTCAGTCATGTATCGAAAGATATATCATCGCCTAAGCGTGTATCACGCATGGCACAGAACTGAATTGTACCAGGAAGTATTTCTTTGCCTACTGATAAAATGTATCTTCTTTTATTTAAAAGATGTTGTTGGTTGGGGTTAGTTGAAATCGTCAGCTTTTTCGCTTGACACAATGAACAAAACGGAACCAAAATAATATAACCTTTCCTTTTTCTTAGCATTTTTTGCTCACTGACTCCAAACAGGGTTGAGTTGATTCCTATTATTTGACATACATATCTGCGCTGTTCCTGTGCTTCTATTATTGCTTTATAAACAATATTCTTTGCTTGATAGTTAATATGTAGAGGGCAGTCATCTAGCCTTTTACAATTGGGTGATTCCACCTGAAATCAACCAAGGCTCACAAGTGACTCTTTCAGAAAAATAATGGGAACTCACAGGTGTTTCTAGATCAAAAGTATTGATAAATACAAAACATGAGTTTTGTATATTTAATATTTTTAAGATCAGCGCATCTTGAATATTCTCTGCATTTTTTGTTGTTTAACGAAATAAGGCTTTCAAAGAACTTCTGACAATTCATGATCCAATGGTATTGAATGTAAAGATTTATTTACATTAGTTTATGTTCACTATAGATTAGAAAAATATAAACAGCTTAGGTGTGACTTATTTACTTTTATTTTTATAAGGACCTAAATATGGTTAAAATGAAAAAATGCTATTTTGAGACCTTCTCATATACAAAGACTGTCAGTTACAGACTTCAAAAGAGATTTCCTTTCATTTATGGGCTAATAGACTATTTCTCTGCAGTAATCATATTCATTTCTATCATAGAAATATTAATATTACTGTTTGAAAATTTCTAGATTTTAACATCCTTAAGATTGTCTACTTTTATTTCATGAGCAGATCAGTTAGACTGTTTAAAAAAATGTTTATATTTTCAGCATATATTCTGACATTTCTGAAAATCATGTGACAGAAGTTTCATTTTAAGGACAAACTTCTATCTAGGGTTAAAACGCATTTTCTAGAACAACTTGTTATGACAAAATCATGGTTTTGTTGAATTTGACACCTTATAAATTTGATAATTTTGAAAATATGAAGCTGAAATTTGGTACCCATATGATTTTTTATGCAGATAAAATAATTCTTGAATCATTTTACCTTTGTTTCAAATAGTTTAGATGCTATAGGCCCTTAAACATAGCTTTTTCTGATTATCTTTAAACTGAACAAAGAAACTGAACAAGAATAAGAAATCCACTAGATTATTCTAATTGGATTCATTTTAATTTTAATTATTTTAATAAGTCAAAGGAGTGAAAATTCATTACAATTTGAAGAAGAAGAAGAAGAAGAAGAAGAAGAAGAAGAAGAAGAAGAAGGAGGAGGAGGAGGGCTAGAAGACGAAAGTAAAATAAAATAGATAAAAAAAACAAGTAGAAAAAAGGAAAAGATCAAAGAAGAAGTTATGAAAAGGTGGAGGAGGCGAAAGAAGATGAAGAGGGATACAAGAAGAAGAAAGGAAAAGAAGAAAAAGAAGAAAGGGAGAAATTAATTTAGAAGAAAAAGAAGAATTTCAATGAAGAAAGAGTCGATAAGAAGAAACATTAACATTGGGGGAAATGGACAAAAAGAACAAAAACATTAATTAAGAGATCAAATATTTTGAAAGAGAAAAAACGGATTAAAAATAAGCAAATAAAACGATAAAATAAAGAACAATAAAGATTAAGAAATTAATCCGTGTTTAAACATTAAATATCCTCCAGGTGAGCCGTTATTAGCGCCTATCGATGTAGTAATCATGAGTTCAATCCCTGTGCAGGATAATGTGTTATTGTACTAAATGGAAAAAAGGTGAGCAATAACTGAGCGGGTTGCAAAATTAATTTCAACTCGGAACTAATTTTAACTCGGAACTAATTTCAACTCGGAACTAATTAATGAAAATTGCAGAAAAAAATGAATTCTGAATTATCTACTAAGGATTTTTAATGCTAAATTAAACAATTAACACCACCTCACTTCATTTTGTTTAGGATTTTACGGAAATTGATAACTTTGATTTTAAATCGGGTTGAAATTATTTCCGAGTTGAAATTAGTTCTGTCACTCAACTGAGAATAAGAAATAGACGAGATATCCCTAAACATGAGCAGTGGAACGAGACAGTCTATCCATCTTAGATTAAATAATGGATACTGTTCGAAATTTCCTTAAGTTGTTAGATCGATATTGTTATAGTGGAACACACCTATTCTATAGTTAATAGACTCTTCCATCTATAATAAGTAGGAGTAGTAGGAGTCTCTCAGGGGGTTCGGTCAGTCAGTCGACTGGCTGATCGGTTGAACTCTCTGCCTTCGGGCGGGAAGGAACCCGAAGGAGGCTACGCCGAAGGGCGGGTTCTCTTTCGGGGAGGTAAACCGACCCTGAACCCGTTTATACAGGTTCAATGGGCATATTTTTGGCCGAGCCCACGGGCTCGGAGATCCCACGTTAAAAAGGCCTTGTGCCACATGATGCCCTCGTGGGGGAGGGGTGACTGAATATCGTCGGTCAGTCAGTCGATGCCCGACGTCCGTTAGTCGGATACTAAAGTATCAGCGACCACAACTAGATTTCTCTGCGTCATTACCTATTATATGAATTTTCTAACGTTTTGTACGTCGAACCTATTTTAGGACCGACTTAGTACCAATACAAGCCTCCACTGTGAAACCACTCCACAACAGATATCCACGTGATGAAGGCCGTAGACCACAACCGTAGATCGAAACGTTGCTATAGCAACAACAATGATGAGGACACTTGTTCGAATGTAAATAGTGTAAATAATGCCGATCGTGTGAAACGAAGACACTCTTTCGCCTCTCATTCGTAATTCATTCACCGAAGTTTCCAGATGGCAAACACCCTCTTCGAATTCCGAACACAAAATTTGGTCATTAATCTTAGTTGACGTCAAAATAGATAAGAAAAAAAAAACTCGGTTTTAACAATCAGCCACGCGGTGAAGTTACTTATTAACTGATAACAAAAACAAAAGATAAAAAACAAGGTAGACTGACGCTAATGTCAAGCCCGATCACGCTGTATCAATAGACTTGACCCCATTGAGAGATCAGGATTGGTTTAATCAGACGACATCAAAGCTGAATATGCAGGGTGTGTAAAAATACTTTTAGATATTTTGGGGGCGGGTTTCTCACACCAAAACACGGACAACAGTTCATCTATATAATAAATGCGGATGTCAGTGTGTAAGACATCTTCAATTAAAGGGAAACAACTCTCAATAACTCATGTTACAGAAATTTTAGATTCCTAAGTTTTCATTACTGCGATTGTTTTCGGAGATGTTTTACGTGGATTTTTTTTGCGACAAATTTATTGTACGATAACAGCGTTTATAACTTGGAAATTAATTTGGAAATAATCGAAATTAATTTCGAAATCCAGCGAAAGTCACACGAAATAAAAATAATAGTTTGTACAGACAATAAGGATCTACGTACATCAAATTGTCTTTAAACTAAGTGGCGGCCGAAGAATTATCGTTGAACTTTCAAAAGGTAAGCTTATATATTAATGCAAACTTAAATGCAGCGATCAATTTTGAGTTCTTCTGTAGTTTATTGTTGCCTATCGCATATGGCAGCAGTATGCCTCGCAAAAAGAAACCTCCGCCAACGGAGAACCAGATTGCAAGCAAAAGAGCCAAGGTTGCAATGAGGGAAAGAAAGGCCCGTGCGAATGAGAACCCAGATCAAACGGCAGCCAGGAGAGCTTCCAATACTGAGAATATGCAAAGATTTAGGGACACTCAAACTGAACAAGCCTAAGCCCGAATAAAGAGCCATCCGCAGGAGCTAGATAGTATGGACATATGTCAGCAAATCCTTCGTTTTTTTAAGTTTACAGTTAACGCTGTTAAATGTACAATCAGTCTTCCGCAATACAAAGTTTATGGTGCCACGGACCCTGTCCCAGAAACGCCATGATAAACAACAGCAAAGGTTGGATGACTCAGCTGCCCTGTAAACACAATCTGATACACCCTGCAACCCTGTGTCCATCACCATTCGTGTGGCCGTAAAATCAAATATGCCTGCTCACAATATGAATATCCTGTCAGTGTTAAACGGAACAGTTAACTCGCTACTCCACATGTTAAACATTGAAAACAGACCAGCCACCAATGTACACGAATGACAAATATAACCTAATCTACATGGCAACAGATCGCCATCTGCCATAATCTTTCCTTAAACTTCATAACTCAAAAACGAAGGATTTGCGGACATATATGTTTAACAAATATATATATATATTAACATATATATATATTAACATATAAAATATCTATATTAACATATATTATTAACAAAATAAGATACGCTTATGAAACTGTGTTAACGGTAGATCCCAGGAAAGAAAGTAATAGAACACTCCGATCAGCTAATAAAGCGTTGTGGTGTCCTCCCTCTAAAGAGTCTATGTTGGACTCTTCCACTTACTATAAGGGTAGCAGGAGAGAAGGCCTTGGGCGAACAGTCGAATAAATTGGGAATAGAGCTCTGTTCTTGAGCAGAGAGGAACCCGGACGAGGCTTTGCCGAAGTGCAAAGTTTCGTCCGTGGAAGTAGACAGGTCTTGAACCCGTTTATGCCTCAATGCTAGACACTTACAAGAGAGTGTCTGGCATTGAGGCTTTCCCTACGAAAAGTTACGGGCATATTATTAAGCTTCTCCGATTGTGTTTTATGACTTATCAACCTTTTTTGTGCTATTTTAGGCCAGAAAATATTTTTAGATTGTAAGAATATTTTGACGATAATAATCATTTACAGATACAATGCCCACTAATTTACCCATACGAGGGAATAAAAAGGTAGATTCATATTTTCCAATAGTATTTGCGCGTGTAATTGTATATAACGAACCCGATTGATATTCCGATTTCCAATTCCGAATTTTTATCATTTACATCACACGCATGATCACTGAAGTTAGATATTTAGCTGTCCCTACGAGGGGTCGCATGTGGCACAAGGCCGAGTTTTACGTGGTCACCCGAGCCTGTAGCCCCGGCCAAAAATATAGCCTTTCGAACCCAGGCAGGTTCGAGAGCTGTCATAACCTCCCCGAACGAAACCTTGCCCTTCGGCAAAGCTTTGTCCGGGTTCCTCCCTGCTAATGCAGAGAGTTAGACAGACGGCGGTTGCTGTAACTTTGATCACCGAAGTTAAGCAACATCGAGCCTGGTCAACACCTAAATGGGTCGCCGCTTGGGGATACCCGGTGCTATAAGCTTGGATATGCGTGGGGATTAATGAATTAACTGCTCTGATTTGGAACTAGGAGAACAGAGTTGCAATTTCAGTCGGGTTCTTAATATTCAATTATACACAAATTACTTTGGAAAAGGTATGAATCTACCTTTTCTTCCTCAAATATGCGTTAATTAGACTTTTATCTCTTAACCATCAATATCTCCCCCTAAAAATTTTTACAATCTAAAAAACGTTTCTGGATTTAAATTACCTACAAAAGGTTGATAAACCGTAAAACACAATCATTAAAATGTCCTAGTGAGAAATAATATTATACGGATAGAGAATAAAGTTTGAAGATGGCCAAATTTAAACGAGGATTAGGACAAGTTCATGGATTTAGTTTATAAAGCAAACGGTGGTTTAATGGGTCTATGAAAATTATAGACATGCGAAATTCTACTTGATAACGCTAACCAGAAAGAAATTTGCATCCAAGAAATCTTCAGCTTTCGAAAATTCTACCGAAGAAATATGCGTTTTCAAAAATTCCACTCAAGGGAACTTCACCTTTCGAAAATTCAACCCAAGAAAACTTTTGCTTTAGAAAATTTCAGTCATGGAAAAACTACTACCTTCAAAAATTCTACTCAAGAAAACTATCGCGTTTGAAAATTCTACTCAAAAAATATTCTGCGTTCGAAAATTCCATCCAAGAAATCTCCCGTTTTCGAAAATTCCATCCAAGAAAGAATTGTACCTCCGAAAATTCCAGCAAAGAAAACTTCCGCTTCCAAAAATTCCAACCAAGAAAAACTACCAAAGAAAATTTTTTCAACCCCCCCCACCACAAAAAAAATTCCACCCTCGAAAATTACACCCAAAAATATTTCAGCTTTCAAAAATGATACACAATCCTTTTTAAGAAAAAATACTGAAACGTGTAGTATAAAATTTAAGCTTATTCTGTAAATTTTGTTTTAAACATTTTGCATTAATGCTGGTGTATCCCAGGGTTCGATCCTTGAACCTACGTTTTTCCTAATTTCCATCAACAAAATTTTCGATTACTTATTATTATTTACATTATTTGGACTTTTACCTTCATCTTCATTGCTGTA